TGTGTGATGCATTTTCTTAGTATAATAGGCAGTGATGTCTCTTGGTTGATCAACTTAAGTAAAATGTGGTTTCTTATTGTCAAGTGTATGCTTCTTCTTTTCTTAATTTGTGTCTCTTTGAAATCTACTAAGTAACATTGGCTGTAGCTTTATTTTGTTGTGAAGTGTCTAGTTGACTTTGTTATAAATTAAAGTCATGCCTTTTAATTTTTTTTTACTAAGGATGCTATTCTTGTGAATAAGTTTAAGTGTGAATGCTAATCTTATGACTCTTTCTTTGCATGTGAAACCTACCTCGAGTCTATTTTGGACTCTCATCTCCTATCCTTGCATCTCCTCGTTGGGCCGAAGGCCCAACTTTACATCTTATCGAGTCAGCCAAAGCAATAGAACAAAAATGCAGGGTTGGAAATCCAGATTGCAGGTGTCCGAAAGTCCTAAGATGGACTGTATACTGAATGTATACACTATATACATTCAGTATACATCAATATACATGTCAAAAATGTGGGAATACAGGACTGAGGCGAAACACAAGTGTTCGTAAGCAGGAAATACATGAAAAGAGTTGATATATATGCTCATATATACTAATATACATCCGTTGTATATGCAAAAATGGGAATTGGGTTGAAGCCCAAAAATTTGCAGCGAAATTGGCCCAAGAAGGGGACCAATTTCCTTATCTCTTTTATTGTTCTAATTGTTTTGATTATGCTTGACTAATTTTATTTAACTCTGACCATAGAATATATTAACTAACTTAATTAGATTCCCAAAAAGATGAGTTATTTTCTTTGTGTTGGTTTGCTTTAAATACTTTTTTTGTGTTGTGGTCATTTATTTTATTAATCAAATATTGGTCAAATTTTACATCCTCAATTAAGTTAAATCGTTTGTTCTTAAAAAAAATGTGTTATTTTAGGTCCCTTTCTCTAATAAAATAAAATGCGTCATTTATTTAATTATTTTCCCAAAGTTAATCAAATATTGTAAAATATTATTTTAAAATCATTTCTCCAAAAAATAGTTAAATATTTAATCTAAGTCGTGGGATAACCGCGTGTTAGTGGGCGCTTCAAATACCTTAAAAACCTTTTTGAAGCGTAAATAAGAACCTCTTACCCATTTTCTCTAAATTTATAAAGATTCAATCTGTTATAGTGTTTTTAAATTAAGTTTTCTTAATTTCTTTAAAAAATTAAGTGGCGACTCTTTTCTAAGTATTTTTCTCAATTTGTTTTATACTTAGAACATTTCAAAAAGTGATTTTTCTAAAGTTAGTAAAATTATGGCATAACAGAAATGGAGACTCTGCTGGGAAATTAATAGGTTCTAACCATAACAGACTTAGGTTAATTATTAAGGTTTTTAGCATATGCTTACTTGCTTGCTTTATTTTACATGCCTAATGCTTTATTTTTCACGCTTATGTGATATAAATTGCTTATTTGTTATTGTTTATCTAAAATGTTTATTTGTTACTGCTTTATATAAAATATATATTTGTTACTGCTTTATAAACTGCCATTTCGTTCATACTTCCTCCAATTCTGGAAAATTTACACAATCACACGTACACGCGAGCTGTGTTTGTGCACCCGCAAATTTCTTTCAAAATCCCAAAAGTTAGGAGAGTTGGCATATGTGCGGGGTGTCTGGATCTTTTTTCGTGTGATCGCGTAGCCTCCTAACTCGAGTTGTCCACTCGGTAACCTTGTGTCTAGTAAGCCAAATCTTAGAAAACATAAGATAGAGCTAAACCACCTCTCAATTTAAGTCATGCATGCATATACCTTAGGTGGATCAATCCTGGGTATCGATTCCATATTTAAGAAGTCCACCCTCATGTCGACGGGTTTCATGACCCAACGACCAAGAGCATGTTTTGTGCAACGTGATAATGATAGACGGATCCAAGACTAATTTTGACATAGTGAGTTTGGAAATTATGTGTTCATTTTATTTTGATTTGTAGGATGGATTCAGTCCCCCCAAGTGCCCATTATTAGAATGGTCGAGGGTTTCTAGCACAAAGTGAGGGCATGGTGGGAAAATTTCACTCCAAGTGAAAAACTAGCAATTGCAAGATGGTTGGGGTTCCTCCCTAAGCTATTCAAGGTTAACCTGGACAAACATGTGATTAGAGCATTAATTCAGTTTTGGGATCCAGACCGTGTTGTGTTCGCATTCAAAGACTTTGAACTAACACCTACATTGGAGGAAATCTGTTATTTCACCAGTTTGAAGTATCAAGGAAGAGGTCAAATTATTCCACACAATCAATCAAGGAAGAAATTTCTTCGCTACTTAGGATTGAAAAATGAAAAGAAATTTTGATGCTTCGAACATAATTGGGTTTCTTTGGATTACTTATATGAAAGGTAAGGACACTCGGATAGTTACAAAGTGTTCAGGAAATAATTCTCTTGCACTTATGTTCATTGGAAAGTTACACGTCCTATCGCATTTGTTGTGGCTTTACTAGGGACTTTTGTGTTTCCACGAGAACATGGTCATATTAGCACCTGCATATGTTCTGTGGCTTGAGTACTTTTTGAAGGTGTTAATGGCGAAGAACTCACTCTGGTTCCCATGATTTTAGCAGAAATATTTCCAACTCTTGGGAAATGTAAAAGAGGGGAAGCAAACTTCTTTTACAAATGTGGGCAATGGAACATTTTCACCAGCGTAAAAATATGGATGACATATGCTTTAGTAACGCAAATCATATTGACAGTTTTTACGACAGGATGAGAAGGTTTGTGTCTTCGATTAGTATTGATGACCGGTATGGATATCTGGCCTCCCACACCAGTAACCAAATTCAGTAGAAATATCCATTACTCCCACGTTCCCCGGCCTATATAAGATGCATGAGATTTTACTACATCTAGCTTATTGGGTTGAAAGGTCTCTACTTATTGGGTTGAAAGGTCTCTAGCCATATGCTCCGGTGTGCGTACTTCAACAGTTTGGTCAAGCACAAGTAATCCCTCTTCGAGCAAACATGAGGATTTTTGAAATTTCCTTCGGACCAAACTTTGAAGTCCCTAGAGCCAGAGAGATTCTTCATGAATGGAACAATATTCTCACGATAGATATAGGAAATGGGCCAGAAACAGAAATTCCAGAATATCAGGTGTGACTTCAAGAAGATCGCAATAACATGAGTCTAGAAGGTGAACAAGGTTTTGAGGATATTGGGATGACGATCTGGATAAGACATTCTCATCTTGGAGCCAAAGTGGTCACTCCTGAAATGTGGGCTCAAATGGAAAATATAACGCAATATTTGGACAATGCGGGAGGAGGGCCTAGCAACGTGGGAGCGTCATCTTCACTTCCTCCACCAGCGTGATTGATAGCAAGATTTAGGCAAAGTCTTAGATTTGTTTATTCTCTCTTCGATGTACTCTTTTATTAGTATTTAATGAAAACTTGGGGGGTCTTTGTTTTCCAAACTCGAGTTGTCAAAAATTAATGGTTTGGATCAACCTATCATAATCATGTTATGTTTGACGTTTAGGTCTACCTCTGGCATAAAAAGGTCACAAATCTAGGGCGCGATATAAACTGTTTGTGTGTTGCTTGATATAATTGCTTTGTGTTGTGATGTATCATTTTGTCTAAGGCAGAATTAATCCACTCTTGTTTCTTAGAACACCATAAGCATATATTAAATCCATAGCAACAAAGTCCGTCCAAATTACTCCTGAAGTGTTGCCCAAGTTTCTCATAAATGTATAAACCATTTACTCTAAATATCTTCTAAATTTCCATTCGTCTGTCTCAGGAAGGTTGACTTGGTAGATTTCGAACTACTTCGGGCCTGAATTCCTTGGAGGGATACGTAGGCAGCCTATTTAAGGCTCGGTCCCTATTTTTAAAAATTTTATTCTCCCTTATTAATGAAGGATTCTGAAGATCTCACTTACAAAAGCATATGAGTGGAAGAAGTTAGCATGACTCTATGCAAGTTGACTTTCCTAATTCAATCAAATAAATTAGCATACAAAAAAAAAATCTTCCCTTTGAGTCCTCTTTTCATTGAAAATACATTTGTGGATTAGTCTGCTATTGAAGCAAAATGACACTTATATGTTTTTATTATGTCATTTTACTTGCATATCTCGTTTAAAACAAAAACTAACATATATGTCTTTTGAGTTGTTCTCTAACATATATGTCTTTTGAGTTGTTCTTCTCTACAGGTAAAAACTAATCTGTGTTGAAATCAAACTGGTCGACCAGCCTTACTTCACAAGATCTAAGACAATCATACCATCCTTCCTTGATCATTCTTTGGATAAAGGCAAAAGCAAAATGACTGGTACTTCTTAGGAAACAGGAATATTGGATGTGACCATTAGAAATGTTGAACTCACCGATCAAAGTGAGTTGATCTCTCAATTAATGCAACGAATTGCAGACATGTAGGAAGAGCTTCAACAGACCAAAGGTCTGGCCAAACTGGCTATTGCATCGAATGAACCCCCCTCGAAACTAGAAAACCTCTTCCTCCTTTTCCATCACTAAGTTCTCCATTACCCAATTACTTTCCTACCCATATGACATGACCCATCACTTCCACTCCTAACCCTCCTACCATCAACTTTATTGCATCCAATGCTCTTTACGTTAGCACTTCCTACCAAACACCACCACTGCTACCAAATCAGAACCAAGCACCCAACACTAATCACTCCCAAAATTTCACACCAACCTACCAAATCCCACCCCAGTATCGAATAATCCACATGTTTTACCTAGCCAACCTATACACCCTTCCGTAACATTCCAAACTCCACCAGCCTATATAATTCCTGAGCCATGTTCAATCGAAGCTGGATCACTATGAAGAAATGGAGAAGGAGTGGAGGTTGAGAGAAGAAAAATGTGAACAAGAAATGAATGTCACGAAGGAGGCCATATCTGAAGCAGTTAAAAGTGTCCAATATTCAAGGAAAATCACATGACTTGAGTATGAGGACCTTTGCATGCACCCTGACTTGGAAATACCTGAAGGTTACAAAATTCCAAAATTTGAAACTTTCAATGGTATTGGGAACCCCATGGCTCACCTACGACTTTATTGTGACAAACTTGTGGGTATCAGGAAAAATGATGCATTAATGATGAGGTTGTTTAGTCGAAGCCTCAGTGGCGAGGCATTAGAATGGTTCACATCTCAAGAACTCCGTCAGTGGTCTACATGGGGGGCTTTGGCCAAAGATTTTTTGGAAAGATTACAGTTTAATGTTGAAGTTGTACCTGACAGGTATTATTTGGAAAAAATCAAGCAAAAGACCACGGAGGACTATCGTGAATATGCATGCCACTGGAGGAAGGAAGCTGCGAAGGTACAACCTGTGATGACTGAAAGTGAAATAACTTTTGTTTTTATTCGAGCTCAGGAGCCTGAGTATTATGAAAGGATGTTGCCCATGATGGGACAACAGTTTTTGGAACTGATTAAGATGGGAGAAGCCTTAGAGGATGGCCTTAAGTCTGGAAATGTTACAAGTCCCACTGCTCTGCAAGCCGCCAACAAATCCTCACCGTCTATGGCCACATGATTCGCTAGGAAAAAGAAAGAGGACGTGTCTGTTGTATCTTTTATCCCGAGGCCAAGACCACAAAGGTATTTTGGGTCTAGTTCTACCATTGGAAACTCCAACTAATTCTCCAGGTCAAATAATTACCCCCCATCTCCACAAGCTCCAATTCTATTCTACTATGCACAACCGAACTACCAAGCATCCCCACCTATCTACCAAAATCAACCACCAACATACCAAAATACACTACCAAATTACCATTATAGATTGTTCATCGAGCTTCTTAAATTTCAAACAATTTAAAATAACTAGTTTTATAAAATTTCAATAGTTTGCAAGTTATTTATAATTTTTAAATAATATATGTGTTTTATATAATTATGTATATAATTAGTATATTTTAAGAATATTCGAAAATCATCTCAAAAAGATTTTTGCTTTAGTTAAGTATTTTTTTTATTAGTTTAAGTTATGTTTATATTTTTGAGTAACTAAATTAATTATTTTATTTGATTAAGATTAAGAAGCTTATTAATTAATTTATATTAATTCATCTTATTCAACTTTTAGTCAAATTCACCAATTAATCCAAATCGGCTATATCGTTAACTTCACTTGGCCAAATTTGCAATCCATTTGGTTATTTTTCAAGTTCAAATACAACCAATATATGACTCTAATTCTTGGACTATTTTTAGATCAACTTGTGCCCATTTTTCTTGGCCCATCAATTTCATCAGCAATGCCAATTCTCTCAACAATACTCAACACCAACAATTCTTTAAACCGACCCAGGCCCAATTCTTCAAACTTCAGCCCAACAATACATTCAACAATGTAATAACAACCCGACCCAACCCTGCAATGTCTTCTTCTCCAGCAAAAATTGAGAACAGTGACCCTGCTTTCTTTTCTTCTTCATCGCAGCGGAAATCACGAACAACAATAGAAAATCGTGAGCTGTACCAAACCCGACCCCACCCCTGCATCTTCTTCGCGAGAAATGCCAGAGAAGAAACCCAAAATCACATGCCTCTTCTTCTTTGCGAAGATATTGGTACGTGACCCATCTGCACACCCATAACCCTAGCAACCTAATCCATCACGTCGTTGTTCACTTTTCCCCATTTTCAGGGATCTTCAAATCTCTTTCACTGTTGATCTTGGAAAGGAGGAAAGAAATAAAAAATTTTGTTTGAATTTTTTCAACGGATTTCCCCCCTAAATCACCCCATTTTTCGTATAAAAAACCCTCTACACTCAAGTGAAGGGGGACGGTTTTTTTAGTTTAGTTTTGAAGCAATAGTCATTTTACACTTGAAAAATTTCAAGCGATTCTCTAATCCTAGGTTCCGAGGAAATCTCTGTTCATAGTTGGTTTTGAATTTCTTGGCTTGCTATTAGTATTTGAATCTTGTGGTAGAAGAATCACTGTCCAAAGCTCGTCGTTCCTAGTTCGCTACCCCAGGAAAGGTAACCCTCCTTTTATAATTTTAGTCTCTTTGTCGTGGATTAACAGTAGTTTAGTTTTATGGTCTAGTTATGTGATTTTTCTGCTAAACCGATGTGAGACTGGTTGCTTATTAATCATTATGAGATATTTTAATATTAGTATCTTGCGAGTGTTGCGACTCATTGTTGATTGCGGCAGTTTAAATAGCTTATGGTTGGAATGTTGTTGTTTGGTTTTGTTTGTTCGAAGTCTTGATGATTTTATCTGATGTCAGGTAAATTTCTCCCTGTTAAGGTATTTTATCTCGCTATTAATCTAGTATTGTTGACTGTGGATTGGTAGGTCAGTCATGAAGTTCAAAATTGCCTTCTATAGAAGATCTCGTCTTTTGAATCGATATATGAAGGTTATCTGTTTCAAGCTGTTGGAGAATTTTTCTTGTGTTAAATTCTCACTGTCAAAATGTGTTGCTATGCTAATTAGTTTTTTCACTTATATACCTTTATCATATTCACCCTTAAAACATGCTAAAAATGAAATTTCGTTGTTGGTATCTAAGTTAGCTGCAACTTAAATGGTGTTCGGCTGCCCTTTTCTTCCTTTCCCCATTATTGTTCGGGTTTCGTTGCTTCACTGTCTAAGAGTGAGCTTTGCTCAAATCTTTACCTCATTTACTTAGTAATTTTGTATAAGTGAATTGTCGTTTGTTGTTGAGTTAGTATAGAATTGAGTTTCTTATTTTCTTTTTTTTTAGATTTTAGTTTGTTAGAGTTTCATCCTTGAAATTATTTGAAACATTATTTTTTTGGGTATTAACCGCTCATTGTATGGCTTGCTGATTATTTTGCCCCCCAGGTTAATCCCCTGTAGCTCTCTTAAGTCCTGTTTATGGCCTCTGCTTTGAAGCAAAGGAAAAGATCAAATTATGCCTAGTTGTTTACCAATAATGTGTAAAAAAAATAAAATAAAAAAATGAGACTTTATAAGAGCCTCTGTGCCAGATTGTGTTATCAAATTTTATTATCTTTTCAACCTAAATGTGAAGATTTTATTGTAAGCAACCTATTGTCAACATACATAGTCATTAATTTGATTAAAAGCTAATAACAATTGCATGTTCTATTTCAATGGCTATTGTCAAGAATGTCTTCTCTGATTGTTGTTGTTTACTGTCTGGTCTAGATATTTAATATATTTTTATCCTATTCATGCATGCTAGATTATAGTGTTGTTCCCATTTGGTTGATTATTAATACCAATGTGATATTCCCTGGTGGAATGAACATGTGTGATGCATTTTCTTAGTATAATAGACAGTGATGTCTCTTGGTTGATCAACTTAAGTAAAATGTGGTTTCTTATTGTTAAGTGTATGCTTCTTTTTTTCTTAATTTGTGTCTCTTTGAAATCTACTAAGTAACATTGGCTGTAGCTTTATTTTGTTGTGAAGTGTCTAGTTGGCTTTGTTATAAATTAAAGTCATGCCTTTTAATTTTATTTTTTTACTAAGGATGCTATTCTTGTGAATAAGTTTAAGTGTGAATGCTAATCTTATGACTCTTTCTTTGCATGTGAAACCTGCCTCGAGTCTATTTTGGACTCTCATCTCCTATCCTTGCATCTCCTCGTTGGGCCAAAGGCCCAACTTTATCTCTTATCGAGTCAGCCAAAGCAATAGAACGGAAATACAGGGCTGGAAATCCAGATTGCAGGTGTCCAAAAGTCCTAAGATGGACTTTATACATTCAGTATACATCAATATACAAGTAAAAAATGTGGGAATACAGGGCTGAGGCGAAACACAGGTGTTCAGAAGCAGGAAATACATGAAAAGAGCTGATATATATACTCATATACACTGATATACATCCGGTATATATGCAAAAATGGGAATTGGGTTGAAGCCCAAAAATTTGCAACAAAATTGGCCCAAGAAAGGGTCCAATTTCCTTATCTCTTTTACTTTTCTAATTGTTTTGATTATGCTTGACTAATTTTATTTAATTCTAATCATAGAATATTTTAATTAGCTTAATTAGATTCCCCAAAAGATGAGTTATTTTCTTTGTGTTGTGGTTATTTATTTTATTAATCAAATATTGGTCAAATTTTACATCCTCAATTAAGTTAAATCGTTTGTTCTTAAAGAATGTATTATTTAATGCTTCTTCACAATTTTTACTCATTCTAAAATTATTTTAAGTATAGTTTTTTTCTCCAAAAAACTTTAAAAAGTGGCTTTCCTTTACTTTGTCACTTTCTCAGAAGTTAGTCAAAACTTGTTTTTATTCTTCAATTAATAGTCTTCCTGCTTTAGTCGACCCAAATTGACTCAAATTGTTATTTCTAAATTATTCAAATAAATTTTGATTAATTTGGTTTTGTTAAAATTCTATTCACTTGCATTTTAATTCAAATGTTTCATTTTAGGTCCCTTTCTCTAAAAAATAAATAAAATAAAATGCGTCATTTATTTAATTATTTTCCCAAAGTTAATCAAATATTGTAAAATATTATTTTAAAATCATTTCTCCAAAAAATAGTCAAATATTTAATCTAGGTCGTACGATAACCGCGTTTTAGCGGGCGCTTCAAATGCCTTAAAAACCTTCTTGAAGCGTAAATAAAAACCTCTTACCCATTTTTTCTAAATTTATAAAGATTCAATCTGTTATAGTCTTTTTAAATTAAGCTTTTTCTTAATTTCTTTAAAAAATTAAGTAGCGACTCTTTTCTAAGTATTTTTCTCAATTTGTTTTATACTTGGAACATTTCAAAAAGTAATTTTTCGAAAGATAGTGAAATTATGGCATAACAAATAGCATGACCCCAAACAGTAGTGGGCAACTTAGTTTTCATAAGTAGAGGTGGTCTTGCTATCAATTATAAGCGCTTAATAAATGACTCAGCAAGGCCATTTTGAGTATGAACATGAGCTGCATGATGTTCAATTCTTATCCAATTGATAAGCAATAATCATCAAAAGCTTGGGATGTAAATTCTCCAGCATTATCAAGGCGAATGGCCTTAATAGGATAATTTGGAAATTGCGCTCTTAATCGTATCATTTGTGCCAATAATTTTGCAAACGCTAGGTTGCGAGATGATAAGAGGCACACATGAGACCATCTTGAAGATGCATCTATTAGGACTATAAAATATCGAAACAACCCACTAGATGGGTGAATAAGTCCACAAATGTCCCATGTATACGTTCTAAAAATTGAGGGGATTCAATGTTAACCTTCATTGGTGATGGCTTAGTAATCAATTTTCCTTGACAACAAGGAGCACATGAAAATTCATCATTTGTAAGAATCTTCAGGTTCTTCAACGGATGTCCATTTGAATTTACAATAATTCGTCTCATCATTATTGATTCAGGATGACCTATTTGGTCATGCCAAAGCACAAAAGTTTTTAAGTCAGCAAACTTCTGGTTTACGATAGAGTGTGCTTCAGTTGTACTTATTTTTGCATAATATAATCCAGAAGATAAAGTTGATAATTTCTCCAACACATATTTCTGGTCTGAGACAATCTTGGTAATACTAAGATTTTCAAC